CTCTGCGTTGTCCGATGAGCCCACAATACACTCGGCAATTCCTCGACCCATTTGCCTTTGGCTTTCTCCAGCCTCTTCTTGATGTCGTCCAAGATGGATTTGTTAGAGGCTTCGGCTTGACCATTACTTTGGGGATAAGCCGGCGTGGAAAATACCATATTTGCTGCACAGCTCTTGATATACGCCACAATCAAACTAGGTGCCGTTGTCTGAGATAAGAGCTCTGGGAATGCCGAATCGTGTTATGATGTTCCTCCACACAAAGCGCTTAACATCAACATCTCGAATATGTGTTAATGCCTCCGCTTCGACCCATTTTGTGAAGTAATCTGTTGCAACGATCAAGTATCGCTTGTTCCCTGGGGCCCTCGGCAGTGGTCCAACGATATCGAGCCCTCACTAGGCGAATGGCCAAGGACTGGTGATGGAGTTCAACTCTTCTGCAGGCAAATGGGTTAATAGGGGGAACTTTTGGCACTGTTCACACTTTTTTGCATAACAGTCGGCATCCACTCTCATTGTCGGCCAATAATACCCTTGCGTTATAGCTCGATGGGCCAAAGAGCACCCGCTAGAATGGGCACCACAACTGCCTTCGTGTATCTCAGTCAGGAGCTCATCGACTTTGTCTGGGTGCACGCATTCCAAATATGGACCAGAGAGGGATTTTTTATAGAGCCTTCCTTGCGGATCCAAGTAGTATCGCATGGCTTTGTTTCGCAGCTTGTGCGCTTCTTTCTTGTCCTCTAGGAGTTGCTTAGAAGACAGGAATGCAGCAATGGGATCCATCCAACTCGGGGCAGATTCTATAACGTTGATCTGGACTTCCTCCGAAGGGCTAATGCTTAGCTCCGAGATAAAACCTATTTCGATGGTCTGTTTAATCTCTGAGTTGATGGCGGAGGCTAGGCAAGCCAAGGCATCTGCATGGGTGTTCTGATCACGTGTTATCTGGTTCAGCTCATGATGGTCAAATTTTGCCAAAAATGAATTGGCCGTTTTCATGTAGGCCACCATGCAGTTGTACCTTGCCGCGTATTCCCCCTTTAGCTGATTGATCACCAATTTTGAATCACAAAACACAAGCAAGCGCCGAGCACCAAGAACGTGCGCGTTCCACAAACCGACTAGAAGGGCTTCGTATTCGGCTTCGTTATTTGATGCTTCGAAGCCGAGCTTGACGACCTGCTCGATTATTGTGCCGTCGGGAGACATGATCACAACTCCGGCTCCACTGCCCCGCTGATTGGACTATCCATCGCAATACAATTGCCAAATATCCCCAACATAAATCCTCCAATTCGGCTTTGGTCGAATTTCATCAGTCTTGAAGTCGGCCAGGCCCCCGGTAAATTCGACGACAAAGTCGGCAAGCACCTGTCCCTTGATTGAGGTTCTGGATAGAAACTGAATATTGTACTGGCCAAGTTCCAGAGCCCACTTTGATACACGTCCAGAAGCTTCCGCACTGCATAGTACTGACCGGAGGGGATAGTCTGTTAGCACCCCAATGTTATGCCCTTGGAAGTAATGCATCAGCTTCTTTGCCGCCATGACTAGGGCTAAGATGAGCTTTTCCAGCGGAAGGTAGCGTGTTTCGGCGTCAACCAATGCCTTGCTCACATAATACACTGTCTGTTGCTCTCCCAGCTCTTCCTTTATCGGTACGACGTTGACGGCCCGGTCGGAAACTGCCAAATACAAAATGAGCGAGTCACCGAGAGAGGGGGTTGCCAAGAGTGGTACTGAGCAGAGGTAAGTCTTAAGGCCGTTGAAAGCTGTTTCGCATTCGGCGGACCATTGAAAAGCCTTGCCCTGCCGTAGTGTATGAAAAAATTGTCGGCAGCGATCTGTGGACCGGCTGATGAACCTGTTGAGCGCGACGGCCATCCCCATTAACTTTTGAACCTCTTTCACTGATCGAGGGGAGCTAAGCTCCAGGATTGCTGTGATTTTCCTTGGGTTAGCTTCGATTCCTCGGTGGTTGACAATATATCCCAAGAATTTGCCAGAGCCGATTCCAAAAGCACATTTGGAAGCATTGAGCTTCATTCCATATTCGCGTAAGATGCCGAATGTTTCTTCAAGATCGGCTATGTGATTCTGCTTTACCTTGGACTTGACCACCATATCGTCAATGTACACTTCCATTGTGCGGCCGAGTTGCTTTTTGAACATGGTGGTGACCAGTCTCTAGTAGGTTGCCCCTGCATTCTTCAGCCCAAAAGGCATAACCTTGTAGCAATAGGTTCCTCCTGGGGTGAGGAATGCAGTTTTGTCCTGGTCCTCTGGATGCATGGCAGTTTGATGGTAGCCTCTGTAGGCATCAAGGAAACTCATGCGCTGATGACATGCTGTTGCGTCTACCAATTGGTCTATCCTTGGGAGAGGAAAACAGTCTTTGGGGCAGGCTTTGTTTAGGTCCGTGAAATCAATGCAGACTCGCCAGGACCCACTCTTCTTCTTCATAACCACAGTATTAGAGAGCCATGTGGGGTAGGTCACTTCCCTGATTGCCCCTGCATCAAGCAGCCGATCAACTTCTTCAACGACGGCAGCAGTGTGCTTTGCGGCTGATCGCTGGCTTTTCTGCACGACCGGTTTGTACTTAGGGTCAACATTCAAACGGTGCTGTGAAACAGATGGGTCTACGCCCGACATTTCATATGGGGTCCACGCAAATATATCAAGATTGTCCAGCAGGAAGGACACTAGTTGTTGTCTGTCGGCTTGACTTAGGGAGGCGCCGACCATGAAGAACCTCTCTGGATTGCCATCAATCTCAACTCGGTCTAGATCTTCCGTGGCTTTCTCATTTGGGAGCCGCCCGACATCGTCAAGGCTATCTCGATCCGGCACCTCAATGGAATTGACGTGCAACTCCTTTGGCGTCTTTCTGGAGAGGAGATAACATGCTTGTGCGGATTGCTGGGAACCACGGATATGCTCAATGTCGTGTTCCGTCGGGAAGCGTAGAAGCTGATGATAGGTGCTTGGGACGGCCCACATAGTATGCAACCAAGTTCGCCTCATGATGAGATTGTACGACGAAGGAAGCTTGACGACTAGGAATTCCACATCCACTGTTCGGGAGCCCGCTCGAACGGGTAGTATGATTTTTCCCAACGGATACTCTGGATTTGCGTTGAAGTCGAATAGTGGATAAGGAGCCGGAGACAAGTCTGATTCGTTGAAGCCAAGTTTGATGAAGGTCTTGTAATACATAACCTCCGAAGTACTTCCCTGGTCTATGAGAACGCGCTCGATGGAAAATCGGTTTACGCGTAGTTCAATGACCAGTGGTTCAGTATGGGGGACTGTTATGCCGATAAGATCGGAATCGTCAAAGGTGACACTTGAACTTCACATGGTCATTTTTCCGACGTGAGTTGCTTCTGGGATGCTGGGTGTGATTGAATTGTATGGACGGCTGGGGGCGTTGGCAAGCTGTATATCATATGAACGACACCAAGCGAAGGTGAATCCTGCCGAAGTACATTTGTTTGCGCTTTTTTGGACGTGTTGTTGGGGCTGACCATCTTGGAACGACTCTGCAAGGTGATCTTTCAAAGTATAGCTACTGTCAAAGTCACAGCCGTCGTGTTTACGATATGCACACCACCTATCCCTTCTCGTGTCGAGAGGTCCCACCATTTTTTACGGCCATTTGAAGAATGAGGGGGCCCACCTTACATGCGGACTCTCTTCGGAGGAACTGGAAACTTCAGGTCGTCCTTTTTTCTTGGGGATTGGGGATAATAAGTCGGAGTCGCTATCAGCGTCATGTCACAGGGCTCGAGATCGTCGACCAATTGCCTTCAGAAGTTGTTCCAGGGCTTGGCGTACAGCTCGTTTGGACTTTTCCACCTCCGAGGCCATATCCTGACGGAGACATTCATTTTCAGCGGTCATGTTCGCCAATCTCTGTTCGTTTTGCTTTGCTTTTTCCACGATCGCTTGCGTTGCCTCATGCTCCAGAGTTGAAGATGAGGCGCAGTGCAAAGCACGTCTGGCAGGGATGATCTCCGGGCCATGTATGTTTGTTGGAGTGAGGTCGTATCTCTATGTAGTATCATCAATGACCATTGGAGGGTCCTCTGTCACACTCGCCATGGATATGCTTGAGTATCCCCACAGACGGCGTCAGTTGTGGAGATGTGGTTTTGGAAATACTCTTCTGGTACTGGGGGACGCTCTTGATCCTCTTCTAGTCACTTGAAAAACAATGAACAATCCGGTCGGGGGTGCCGGAATAAGCACTCCGATGCGCAAGTTAGTTTCACACTCAATATTGCTTGTATCCTAAGTTAAGCACCACTCTTTTTTTTTACATACCTCTTTCTGGCTGATGTCTTCTCTATTTATATCCTTTCCTCTTTGGGCCTCGGGATTAGATCCACTTCCAACCTCCTATTCGGCATATTTTATATTTGACCAATCTTTACTCGACCCTTGCTTAATCGGCTATTTGGCCGAGTAGGGTTGGATTTGAGTTTTCGAGCCGATCGCCGAATGCTTTGAATCCCGACTCCCAGATTCGACTATCCGGAATCACTACGACTCTCAATATTCGGCCCCACAATATCCATCATCTATTTCTGATAAATTAATAAATTAATTTAAAATTTTCAAGTCATAAACAAAAGAAACTAGGAAATGCTATTTGTCATAAGAATTATTTTACCATTTTAACTCACTAGATTTAAATAATTAATAGATAACCCATGAAAAAGATTTTAAAAAAATAAAATAAAATAACAAACATCCAACATCTATCAAAAAGCATTAACGAATAGAGGGAAAAAACTAGTTGGCATGGCCTGGAGTGTCCTTAGGGTGTCCCACAAAAAAATAAAAAGACATGCCAACTGGAGTATTTCGTACGTGTTCCCGGCACGTCTGACATTGCTACAAGCCTTCATCAGCTGTTTTGGGTGTCCGTGCTCCATAGGTGATTACTGCTAAGTATTCAAGAAAGTTGCATATCATAAAAAAGTGAATAGTTGCCAAGTATCTAATCACTTTACAGAATTTACTTCTGAAACCAAGTTGATACTATGATATAAGCCAACATGGCCATGCATTGAACATTTAAACAATCATCACGGCAGTCATAAATTTTGCTAGGAACATAGAATGAATCACATAAGACTCGCACACCTGAATGCGGGTCCCACAAGCCTCGTTTATTTTGTCTCACTGGGATTTTATTGTGGCAGTTACCAAGCATGATTTGATTCCTACATTTAAGAAGCCACCAAGGGAAGCACTTCACAACCTCATATATCCAAGAAGGTCTACATCCCACTCGATGTGAAGACAAGATTGCCCAATTCCTACATAATATATATCCCACTCCGAGCTTCAAACGGCGATTCTCCAAATGAGATTTTCCTCTATATTATGTATCACTTTATCTACTAAACGTAGGGGTGAAAAAACTTGTACATTTGCTTTCCTATCATACTCTTATAACATTTACATATCAATACTATGGTGAATTCTACATCGCAAGTGAATGGGAATCTACATGTATCAAGAACAAGAACCAACCAATGACAAAGAACCAGATAACAAATAAGAAGTCGAAATGACCAAGAACCAGATAACAACATGCATCAAGCAAGCTCAAACATATAGCAACAACGACAAGAAAGGCCAAATATATGTACTAGTTTGCTTAAATTACAGATTGTCATGTGGTTTGAAAAATTACAAATACTCCCTTGTCAAATTTTATTATTTAACAAAATTAACTGAAAAAATGAAATTTCTAATTGCTCTCATATACAATAATAAAATTACATGTCATATTAATTGAAATAAATTTCTGACATCATTAAAAACTGTTAATTGACTTGATGATTAATTCATAAAAGGAGTCATTTGTTATGAAATTAGAAACTTCAAGGGGCGGGATGTAATTTCCAAAACTACATGAGACAAATCGTTTTTAAGCAAATCTCAGGGGATGTATTTGTAATTTACACAAATTAAAAATAAAAATGGTTTAAGGGGGAAAAGAAGACGAGAGCTACAAATACATACCTCTTTCACCATTTCCTTAACCCGTCTCAAAGAATTGAGTATACCAACATATACTGTTTTTCCATTTCTTAAAACCCGAATTCCACAGTCTTTTACTACTTTTCCTTCTGATACCATGCAGCCAGCAACACGACCACTACCGCTGCTAAATATGGCCCGGACTTCTGCCGCTCCAATTTTTACTTGTTCCTGTCAAGAAAAAACAGCAGTTCTCAAAAGGCATGTCAACCAAAAGGAAAAGAGGAACACAATCTCCAAATGTACCTCCTGATTTTCACCTTTTTATTTATTTTTCCTCTTTTTTTGGTGATGTTCTCTAATATATTAATTGTTACATAAATATCTTAAATGAAATACCAATGACAAAGATCTACGTCAACAATTCGAGTGTTAAATGAACCTTGAGGCCACAATGACACCTACATGCAATGTGTACCAGAAACATGAAGAGAGATACACCGCAATTCATTTTCCAGATAAATTGTAATGAAAAATCAAAAGCCGATAGATGTGGACAAAACTAACCTCAACAGGCTCCAAAAGTCCCTCCATAGCCTTCCGCACATCATCAATAAGGTCATAGATAACTCTATATAGCCGAATCGCAACACCTTTGTTGTCTGCATAGCTCTTAACAGAACCAGGTGCTTTGACATTAAATCCCAGAACAATGGCTTTACTGGCAAATGCAAGATCAACATCGCTGGAGCTTATATCCCCAGTCACTTGCAAGAGGAATTTCAAAGTGACATTTTCTTGAGGGAGCATCTGCAGGGCTTGTCTTACAGCTTCTATAGTTCCCTAGTCATGATAAAGAGATTTCAACTTAATGGCAGTAACACAAAACTCCAGGATGAATGAATAATTAAATTGTATCGAGGCATCCGACATAATACAAGAAATGTTTACCGACAAGTGTGCTCATACATGTAATCACTAGTCAACTATATTTGACATAGTATAAAACTCAAATTGGTTAAATTCTTGCTAGATTAGAAGTTATCGTAAAAGGCCAGACAAGTAAAATTTCCATAATTTTGTATTCAATGTGCACGAATTGATCTAAGTCACTCAAAATGTTTGAGCTTTATATGTCCTTTTAAAACATTATGAATACTTTAATCTGTGGATTAATACCATTCTATTTAGTCCAATGGTCTATTGAGTATAATGGTATATTGTTTCTTAAGGAATGCTAGAGACCCTCAATTCACCCATAATGACATAGCAAGGTTTTACGCGTTTAAGGCCCCGTTTGGCAACTCAATATTTTAGCCTATGTGGATACTTGTATCAAGCCCAATACGCGGCAAACCCTACGAGTGCCACATCACCAAAATCCCGCCCGCATGGCAGATCAATAAGGCATCACGTGGACATATCACATGTTTGATACATGGCGAGCCCTACGGGCGCCGTGTGCCAAGGCACCATGCAAAACCAAGACTATATGCTTAACCTAAGCAGGAGCATACATACAAGCCCAAATATGTTCAAATATGAAGAGCCCTACAACAGTTAGCACCATGGCCCCGCAAGGCCCATGGTCCTTTATACCTCGCTCCAAGACTAGACAACAATATAATCAGCCCCCGGTTCACTTGAACTTAGGCTGATAAACCCTGACTCTCCTAAACATTAAGATAGGCTCACGGCCCATTCTCCTACTTGGTCGCTTGGAAGTAAGCCCCTGGCTCTCCTAAACACTGAGGTGGGCCCTGACCCATTCACTTACTTGATTTCTTGGGTTGGGAGCAGGACCCAGGCACTACTGCTCGGGATCATCAGAGGATATTGGACTGGCAGCTGAGGTCATCAGATCGTCGAGATGAATGTCTTCTTACTAAAACAACTCCATCTCGACCATGCTTGGAGAAGAGGCAAAACAACCTTACATTCATGTCATCCGATACATATACGAAACGTTACTTTCCTTTTGCCATGAAACGTTGCTCTCCAGCTGTCGTCAACCTGTTCAACAGTTTGCTTGGGCTCCAATACTCATGTGGCCTATATAACGTATCGTATATGCAGTAAGAAACTTCACCACAACAATACTTTGTAATTCTAACACACTCCAAGCTTGCCTTGGCCTCCTTCTCTCCACCTCCGATGATCTCAATCTATTGAAGTGTCCGCCATCTTCCCAGACTATCTCCAACCACACCTCTCACCCACAATCTAAAAGTCAAAAAGTCACTAAAAAAACTAAAAATCCAAGCCAACAACATATACCAAAAGGTCAAAGATTCCCTTTTCTCTCTACTTTTTATATATCTTTTTGTAAAAAATCAAAAGATCATTCTAAACATACTAATTTTTTTTACCTCATATTTTAGCCAAAACTTCATGAATTTATGAGGTGGATATGTTACATGGCATATCCATTTCTTAAGGGACTTTGCTATGAATTGGATCATTCTAGAGGGAGGAATCAGGCATAGCTTGTCCAAAGTTTACTCAATTTCATTTGTTGATTTGTTTCATCAGGTACCTTCTCAATACAACATAATCAAGATCATCTTTGTCCAAAATTACAACAGATACAGATTCCTCAACTCAGGCCTATCAAAAAAACAAAAAAGGGGTGCAGAAGAAAGAAAAAGATACCTGAACATCAACCTTCAAAATGATATTCAGCTGGTGCAAGTCTAATCCAGACTGTACTCTCGATGAAACTGCAAAAGCTAATGAAGAAAGTGTAACCTTCCCATCACCAGCCTTGGCTGATAAACGTTGTAACGCCCTCAAAATAATAATATTAAACCCATCCATATAGAGACATGCATTTATACATAAAAGTCCACATTCATCTATTCATCAGAGTATTTCATTACAAAAGTATTACATGTTTACAACAAAAGCAAATGCCCTACGGGCTTACAGCTTTCCAAGTTAACACTTGGTTACAAAAGAGAGTGCTAACTTAATTACACATTAAGAGTGGTGGTCCTACAAGAACAACTTAAGAGAAAAGAACAGGAAATACCTGCAATGTTAGAGCAAATGCAACCGTTGCAGGCCCAAATGACAGAAATAGGAAGTGCACCCAAACAAATGGCACAACCTATAACAGGGACATGTGTAGTCGTACAAAGCACACTAACCCTAGGGGGACAATGGTCCTTGCTACTCTAATCTAACCAGTGGTGGTACAAATCCAATGCTCCTGGCCATGATTGATGATATGGTAAGGAAACAAAGAAGGTTAAGGAGAAAGATGATGAGAACTTTTGAGTAATTACAAAGCCTTACCCAGCATGAGTAGATGCTGTTCCATTTCTTTTTGGTTTTTCCCAACCAGATTTCAAAATGTTTGATGGGACAGGAGATCCAAGACAACATGTGGCTCACTTTCTTTCAAGATGCGAGCCAATAGCCCAAAATAAGGCCCTTTGCCTGTAGTTATTTGTCCAATCACTTGAAAGTTCTGTATTTACATGGTACGGTAACCTTCTTGAGTGATCAATCCAAAATTGGGATTCTATGGTAAAGGAGTTCCTTAAACAGTTCTGCAACATGCAAAGGTGAGTCGGAGTACCAGAACTAATTGAAACCAAGCAACGTGACAATAAGCTTGTTACAAATTTCATTGTAAGGTGGCGAGCTTTGACATTTGTCTGCCCTCAAAAGTTCACGCAATTAGAGTTAATTCAGATGTGCCTTAACAACTTCCGGCATGAGCTCTCTACGGCTCTTATGGCTCAAACTTTTGAAGGATTCAACGATCTATGCACTAAAGCTCATGATATGGAGCTGCATCTAGCTAAACGAAGGAGGCCTAGGGCTGTTGAAAGGGTTGAGTCCTCAACTGTAGCTATAGTTGAAACCAGAGAGAAGGGTCCCGTTGTAGTAGGGGCTAAAAACCCCAAGGAATTTAAAAAGGTGACTATGAAAGAGAGGTTGGAGAAGAAATATTCTTTCACGGATGATCTGGTCGAGGGCTTATTTGAAGATCTGTTGGAGCAAAAGTTGATTGCTCTCCCTGAGGTGAAAAGACCAC